CTGGAGCTGTCTTAGTTATACATCCCCTCCATGTTCCCTTTAGACTGGAAGTACCCGACATAGCCCTGAGCATTACACAAGTGTGCCATGCTTCCCACAGCCAACCTCACAAGCTCTTGTTGGCTCACAGTGCCACACACATCTATCTGCCTGAGGCCTTACACTCTCCAAGTAGCAAATACTTAGGTTACAGACCCTGGGGTCACCTAAAGAAGGAGTTTGTGAAGTGGGGAGGGAGATGAGCCAGACCCAGAAGGTACTCTGAGCCCAGGCAAGTCCCTCAGTGCCTGTTCTTCCTGCAGAGATGGACGTGGAGCCAGCCAGCAAAGGCGAGGAGGAGGAGCACGAGGAAGAGGGCACGGGGCCTGCCACAGTTAAGGAAGAGGGGATGCATCTGGAGAACGGGGAGACCCCTGAGGAGAATGAAGAGTCTGCAGGCACAGACTCTGGGCAGGAGCTTAGCATGGAGGGCCGGAACCTGCGCTCAGGCACCTATGGGGATCGCACCGAGTCCAAGGCTTATGGCTCCATCATCCACAAGTGCGAGGTGCGGGGCCGTGGGCGGTGCCTGCCCTGTGTCTCCAGGGTCTCTACAGTCCCTCACGCACCCCTTCCTGCTGCGCCTGCAGGACTGCGGAAAGGAGTTCACGCACACGGGGAACTTCAAACGCCACATCCGAATCCACACGGGTGAGAAACCCTTCTCATGCCGGGAGTGCAGCAAGGCTTTCTCAGACCCTGCAGCATGCAAGGCCCATGAGAAGACACACAGGTACCCAGCTTGCCTCCCCCAGACTGGGGGCCTCCCTGGACCCTGCGAGACCCCTTCCTACCACCTAGCACCCTGTGACCCACAGCCCGCTGAAACCCTATGGGTGTGAGGAGTGCGGCAAGAGCTACAGGCTCCTCAGCCTGCTGAACCTGCACAAGAAGCGGCACTCGGGAGAGGCGCGCTACGGCTGCGGGGACTGTGGCAAGCTCTTCACCACTTCAGGCAACCTCAAGCGCCACCAGCTGGTGCACAGTGGCCAGAAGCCCTACCAGTGCGACTACTGTGGCCGCTCCTTCTCGGACCCCACCTCCAAGATGCGCCACCTGGAGACTCATGACACCAACAAGGAGCACAAGTGCCCACACTGCGACAAGAAGTTCAACCAGGTGTGCGCCCTCCCTGAGCCAGCTCTGTAGGGCCTTCAGGGGCTCCCTGGGGTCAGCACAGAACAGCTACTGTGTCTGGATGGGGCTCTCTAGGATGGTCCTCTGAAGGGCAAGCCGACTTGCAGGCTGTGCTGCATTTCCCTTCCACTGCTAGGACCCTGGGCCTCCATCAGGGATGGGGTTCTGCCCATTTGAGAGTCCGGAAAGTTCATTATTTCCTGGCTCATCCTGGCTCAAGGGGTTGGGCAGAAGCCAGGTTCCTAGGGGACCCTTCTGAGCCCCTGTCTGGGTACAGGTGGGGAACCTGAAGGCCCACTTGAAGATCCACATTGCCGATGGCCCTCTCAAGTGCCGGGAATGCGGGAAGCAA